TTCATCAAGACTGCAGAGGTTAGACAACTCCACTGTTCGCACATACTCATGTTGACAAGCCACTCAAAGGAGGCAGCACTGACTTGCTGTGAGTAGTTTTCCTTGGCTGACAAAAAACAAACCACCAAAGAAATGGAATCTACATAGACTAGTAAATATACACGATACTCTGATACGGCCTAGCAGTACACAAGTGAGATAACCCCTCTGAATTGCTAGAGGCTGGAAGAGGAATCCTCATATTGTAACTCAAAGATTTCCTATCACTGTTTGTCTGCTATGGTTTAAGGTCTGACTGTTGCAGGCCTGTCATTATCTTATTACACACCAATGGGTTGCTACCATACTGTTTTGTACATTTTAGTAGCATTTTTATATTGACGCACATAGCATTTTATTGGTGAGAGTTTGGCACTTACAGAATAATACATTTTTAAGTGAGTATTTTATATAGGGGAAGCTGAAATAGGCAGAGAGCAATCTAGTAGGTACACAAATAGTGGCAGAGACCAGAAAAGGATCTGGAGGTGATTTCATATTAAAAACAAAAGTATACCTGAAAATTTTGAACTTTTAGTATGTTGTTTTTCATCAATGTGATTTATATCTGTTGAAAACAAATACGAATTTTAAGTATCTGGGGCTTACAGCATATGAACAAAGTGAAATTACTTGATAAGAATGGCTAACAAGACTAACAAGAAACCTTGATATATAATCATAGAATATAAGGCACTGATTTTTAGAGAAATACTAGTTGATGGAACATATTTCCAAATCCATAGAAAAATGGAGTTTTATTGAAAAACAGTCTTAGTAAAACCATGGTTTCCTAGATTACAAATGTCAAGTGCTCATAAAACTGTTTTTCACCTAAAACTGTGCTTTACCAGAATATTCTGCCATTTTCAATGAATTAATATTTTGGAAAAATACTTTGTATAGCAATATTTAGAACCAAATGTGTGCACAGGGATGAGGAGAGGAAGTGGTTATAGGCAGAGGAACAGCTCATCTTGTGCTGTTTATTCATTGCCTTGAACTAAAAGCTCCACGTAATTTATGGTCGGTCTTTGGGGCCTATTATGGGAGCTGGTATGCTGCCTTATTTGGGTCACTATTTGAAGCTGCTGTTGATAAAACAAAAAGCTTTCAAAAAAGAGATTTAATGTCAGAATGTAAAACTCTAACATTAAAAATTTAATTACGGTATATAATTTGGCATCTAATTAGGCACGATCTAACGTATATAATAATCTGGCTAAATAAGAGGCTTTCCAAACTACTGTTTGTAATAGCCTCTACACATAACATGATAATTTCCCCAGGAACTGACGACTTCACTAATTTACAAATGACTATTTAATATGTTGAGTAGTGCTTGCTTCTTAGCTCTTAACTGATGGATAGAATTACTCTTTTACTATTTGCAATTTGTATTTTGTGCATGGCATTCTAGTTCATATTTCCTAGTTTTTACCAGTAAATGGGATAGTTATTTATTTACAATAAATAATCTAGGACAACCAATTTCTATTTTGATGCAACATTAGCCCTTTTCTCATTAAAATAATTCAGAACATATTATTTATTATTTCTTTTGTGTCAGGAACAATAATTGTGAGCTTTTCCTCAATATATTTACGACTGGAAAGAATCAGTGATGTTACATCACTGACCCAGATTCTTTAAAATGTTATTTTTTTATCATTATGTTTTTGTCATAATTAATGAAAGGTATCTTTTTAAGAGCTCTAAAATATATAAACTAGAATACAAATCTAGTCCATAGAATAGGTCAAATCAACCCAATTTATTAATGAGCAACTGTAAATTTTCAAAAGGATGGCTGACATTTTCTGTGAACACCTTTGTTTATATTTCTGCCATAATTTCCACAAAGTTGAACAAATCTTATTATTAATTGAACTCGCCTGCACAAAATTGGCGAAGAGCAAATGTTAATTACATACAGCTATTAGTTAGACCCTAGATGATATTCTATCCATTATCTCTCAGGACAGCGGTACGCAGGCCGCATGGAGCTGCACCAGGAGTAGCAAAGGAGGATTTCCAGTTCAGGACCTTTCAGTCAACTAACTCTGTCCATTAACTATTTTAGATGTCGTCTTTTCAGTCTACTCTACCTAAAGTGCACTACCATCTAAGAAGACGAGCAGTGAAAACCTTTGTGAAGACTGAATTCTGTGGAAATAACCACAAGTACTGCTTTATTAAGCTGAAAATGTGATTTTGGGGGGAGTCAGATATTAAGTTTGATTAGTTTACTATAATTGTAAGCAAATGCTTAAGTCATTTGAATAAGAAGCATCATCTACATCATAAATTCTGTACAACAGATGCTTTTATGAAATGGAGCCACTTGTTTTTTCATGTTTTATTGTAATATACTAGGCATTTATGTATTACTGTGTATGTATTTCTTTTTAAATGTGTAAGTCTTATGTAAATGGATATAAATATGATTTTTTAAAAAATAAAGTATATGGTTCATGGAGTCTTGAGTGCAAACATTTGACAATTCCAAGTACTGTTTGTATTTTACCATTCCACCATTTTTACAGTTTTTGAATTGTAACAGTCAAATCGATATGTTTCCTGGGAGCATGTTTCGTGCTTCCACACGTTTCTCCTTCAAGTCTGTCAATACTTAAAAGCTGAAAACCTGCCTCTGATCATGTAAAAAAGAATGATTTAACCTGGAACTGGAGCCAAAAATAGACCTTCAAAGGCAATCAGGGATGTCCTATATCTTTAGAAATAGCACTGTGATGGCTTGATCTCCTTTTCAATACAAAACAAAGCCAAACTGTTTACAAGAATCAAAAACAATTATTTAAAAAAATTTATAAAATGACACATTAGCTTCTCTTGTTACCTGTGGACCAAGAAAAAGAAAAAAAAAAAAAACCTTTCCTAAGAACCACACGTTCATTCAAATATCTTGAACCGCCAGCCAGCACTGTTCAGTGACTGTCAACCACTGCAGAGTCCGAGGCTCATTTCCACTGAAAAAACAAAACCCCAGAAACCCTTCCCTTTTGTCAGTCTAAAAGGGCATTAGCCAGACTCACGTCTAATGTTACAAGCTTTTAGCCGAGATGGCCTTGTTGCGACTTCCCTGAAGTCAGTCTTATCAGAGGAAATAAATGAAAGAGAGTGATTAACATATATAGTGTATAAAAGTATAGAAGAGTAATCCTTTCCCTGTGGCTTTATTTGGTGGTGTTATTGTTGTTTATTCTTTGTTTATATGGGAGATTTCAAAGTAAAACCTATTTAATAATACCATTAATCTAACTGCTGATTTTCTGCTGCTTGATCTTATTAAGCGCAAGACCTGTCATTAGTAATTTCTTTTTTGTATTTAATTTGCTATGTTTGCACGTACATTTGTTTTGATGTCTATTTTTGTTTAACAGATTCAGTCAAAAGGTAATGGTAACAGAAACCCTTTCCATTGTCAATAAAAAAAATATACTTCCAGTTCTCTGTTTAAGCTTTGTTTTCTAGTCACATAAAGTTTAACAATTTATTTAAACTATAATGACGATCTTTTTCTAGTGACTCTCAATCAATTTAGCTTCAAAAGTGAGTCGGCCACAAGAGGGAGTACCAAACTTTCTTATAAGAGTGAGTTTAAATTTTCTAAAAATGTCTGAGCAGAAGCAATGGGAAAGAACTTTCTAAGCTCATCTGACCTGGGGATCTTGACTTACAGAAATGAAATATAATATAAAACTATGACTATAATAATATAAACTAGATTTGTATCTACTCTTATACACAACTTAATCCCGTAATGAGTTTCTTCCCTTGAGAAACAATCCAGTAAGAAATAGTAATCATTTATAATAGACCTTAATATACATAGAGAAAAAAAGATCCAGCTACTTGCCTCAAAAAAGCATAAAATACTCTTCAATGTATAAGATAATTTCTGCCAGATTCCAAAATCCATTTAATGGATTAAGCTCAGAATCTTCCTTTTGACCATGTATCAACATTATGAATTTTCACATTTTTAATGATCAGAGCCTTTTCAAATATAATTTTATATAAATAAAACTGCATTTTTAAATTCAAAGCAGGTCTCATTTGTATATATTTAATATATTGTCATGAGCAAAATAATTGGAAAACTTTTCTATAGATTTTAAAAGAAAAATTTTTAGATTTTAATTTTTCCAATGTCTTACAGTAAAAAATTCTATGAAAATACCAAAAGAAGATCATGTAGAATTTATTTCAGCAAATTTAAATATGATTGTATTTTTTGGTAACATTATATTGTTATTTTTAAAGATACATTTAACTCAGAATATTTTAGGTACTATCTAGTGAAAGTGCTTTATGATAAGTATTAAAATAGAAAATGCCTTTTCTTTCCTTTTCCTCCCAACTTTTAAGCAATCTAATGACTCGAGTGTATCTTTCTTGTCCCACTTTTAGTCACATGAAAGTACTCTTACTTTGTACTCTGTACAAAGTACTTTGACTCTACAAAGGAGATACCAAAGAAAGCCACTTCCCCCATCTCACGCACAGTTTTACAATCCCACCAACTAGAAAATAACTCAAGCCTGCTGCTTTCAGATTTGATTACCAGGAAAAATGTGCAAGCGGACCAAAGATGTAACCTTGCACAGTTCTTGCATCTGCCTGAGTTTATACCTTGCAAAAGAACAATGATACATATTTAGCTAAAGAATTTGCCATTTCAAATTAACTGAATCTTATATGAAAAAATAAGGTAATACATTTTAATGCTAAGACATTAAACATGGATTATTTGTTAAGACTACAGTTGTGATAACGGATGAAATGTACCCAATAGAAGAAGAGACAATTCAAGGAAGCCAACAGCTTCAAATTATAAATTGAATGTCTATCTAGTTGGCTTAATTCAGGCTACTAAAATAATTAAAGGGAACAACTAGATAAATACATTTTTTCAGGTGTAACAACCAAGAAACCAATTAAAGCAAATAGGAATTTACTTTGAGAAGCCATTTATTTTATAGCCTACAGTCTAAAAAAGGTAAAATTTCCAGAATGTTTTTATACAGATTGTAAGCAATTTTTATGAAACAAATTTCATGTATCCAGACTATTCTGTTAGAGGAGATTCTCTTAATAATAATGTTCCTGATGGACTGAAAGCTTGAGAAATACTTTGGAACCATCAAAGATTCACTGTACATGGTATATTTTTGTGTTTAAATGTATTCTTTGATAAGTGATGTCATGTAGAACCCTAAGTAAACCAAATATTTAATTATCTGTATCTATTTACTCTGGCTAATCAGCACATTACCATAAGTTTATTAACAAAGATTTATTTTCAATTATTTTTTTAAATGCTCAATAGTTTTATAGAAGTTGAAATGCAAAGATGTGTTTGGACATCACAATATATTTTTTTGTGAGTTATTATTTTAAAATTAGAGATTTCACATAAAAATCTAGATTTTTGGTTTCTCTTAAAAATCAGAGGCTCTTGCAACAGGGGTCCTGTCTCTCCCTGGATCATTGCTGCTGGCACTGACTAGGGGCTGCCCACTCAGACAGAGCAAGCACTCCCCAGTCTTCACCATTCCCTATTGTCCTTCTGATATTCAGGCCAAGTGGCTCAAATTCACTCCAAAAGCTCATTGACATTACATTACTTGCCTAGTCTGTGAAGGCCTGCTGATCTTGAACATAATGTAAAACTTCTACATTTCTTCCTTAAGGGATTTCCTTGTTAGTCTACCCCATTTCTACATCATTTTCTTGTTTCCATAGGAAGCTGGAATCATTAAGTACACAGTCTGAGACATGAGGAGGGGCTCCCAAAAGCCCTCATCTCCATGACAAAGAGACTGGATTAAAGACCTCCAGGCTCTCTGCCAGGCATGCGATTTCCCTTGACTAGGTAACAGATGACCTAAAGGCAGAGCTGTACCCTGACATCCAGCCTCCCCTCAGGACTAGACAGGTCTTCCTACCTAGAAAATGATCTGTCTAGGCGATTACCTAAACTTCCCATTTCATCCATTTCATTTAAAATAACCCTACATGTGGGCATCTCAGGAATATTAGAAAATATTCAGAATTTCTATGAGAAAAATTGTAATTATTTTCTGACTTCAACTTGAGTTTTAAGCTTTGGGTCAAAGCTGTAGATTCTTAATTTCAGGAAATGGCTCTATGTTAGTGTTAACTTCAACTAAAATGTTTTTTCGGGGTACAATTTTTAAAAATCATTCATTAGACATTTTTCTTAAAGTTCTAGACAACTTATAATGAGTCATCATACAGGGTAATAATTCAAAAAACTTCACTCCAATTAAAAAACTATCTCAAATTGACTCAAAAAAAAAAGTCACGATGCCTTCTTCAGTACTTCTTCTATGTGCCCAAAAAGGCTGGGATCTTCAATTGTAGGAGTCACCTGGAAAGGAAATTAGAGTCAGATGAATATGCTCTTCCTTGCACCTCTCCCATTCTCTCTATAATTAAACAATTATATGCAATGTTGTAGTCCCCATTATCTGATTATACTCACGTGGAAATGTTCAAAAATAGGGAACTTTGAACCCAATATTTTAAAATGTGTCTGTCATCTTCCAGAGTAATAAACTGTTTGATGAGCAAAACTATTGGTCCTAGATGGTGCTGTCCCTTATTGGCCTTTCTATGGGGCTCTAAAGAAAGAATTTTTTTTTTTTTTTGCATTTGCTCATACAACTACTCTTTTCTATTCCATCATCTTTTATTAGATCTTGATGATTAAAAATATGTTTATCGATGCATGTATAATGTGCATAGAAATTGAAAGACTACATATGCTTGAATCAGCCCAAAGTTTCCTAAAATAATTTTCACTCAAAACAGGAGAATAATTAGCATAAAATCAATTAGAACTTTTTAAATATCTATAGCCAGCCTCAATTGTTTGCTTTCTCACTCACTAATAGCCATTAATGACTGCTATGAAGGAAAACGTATCTTTAATTTAATAAGATTGAGTTTCTACAAGTTTGTTTGAATTTAACTGACATATTTACTAATAGTAAAATATTTTCACATACTGGTTCTTATAATCAAAGTATATGGTCTTAATTAATTTGTGTTTCTCTCCAAATCCCTCATTCCTACAGAGAGAATGGCTATGCAATTTCCCTTTTAACGTTAAAAAAAAAGTACTATCATGTGTTTTTTAGTGATATAATTCATGCTTAAGAACCATTTTTAAGAGCTTTGTTGATGCCTAAGAAATGGGGAAAAACATTTCAGAATCCTGCATTAGAAATCCTTAATAATTTACCTGATATGGCTTGCCATTGACAAGGGCAGACAGAGTTGAGCGGGGAATTTTGCCAGATCTGGTTTTGGGTAACTGTTTGACAAACACTGCTTTTCGAAAAGCAGCCACGGGGCCAATGGTCTGTCTAACTTGTTTCACAATTTCTTCCAAAGCTTGTTCCTCTGTTGTATTTATACCTAGGGAGAAAGGTCAGATGGTAAGCTCTGAATTACCCTTAGTTAATCATTCAGAGCCCAAGCAGTGAGGAAGGACAAAGATCGCTCACCTTCTCTCAAGACACAGAGCGCTAAAGGGACATGACCTTTCAAAGAATCTTCCTTGCCAACGACAGCACAGTCGGCCACAGAGCCATGGGAAAGGATAGACTGTAATAAGGAAAAGCATTCATTTAGAATATATATGATACATATATCATATGTATATAACTTCAATTGGGAAAAAATATACATGTCAGAAAATTCAAAAGCCCATAGCTGCCTGTGTGAAAATTACTACTAATTCACAATTCACATCATTACTACTAGGGTGGACACTTAGGATCCCCATGAGAGTCACTCACTAAAGGCTGACAGTAATTAAGACAAATTGCTTAGCTTACCTGGAACGTAAGGAAATTGTTTCTTCATCTCCATTGTTTATTAATGAAGTCAGGGAAAATACGCAGTGAATACCACATGTGAACAAATTGCAACAGGCCTCCAAAACAGGCAGCCTCATGGTGACTTGGCTTTAGTGCTGGCTACCATAAGCACCTTCCAGAGGAAGCCAAGGCAGTCCCATGACGAAACAGTGATTTTATTTCTGCCTCTGTTGCTGAGCAATGAAAAGCATTTCTTTTCTTGAGTGACCACCAATCCAGAGAGGAAGAAGAGGCTGGACGTAGAGTGAAGCCCTGATCTAGTCAGCCCTAATCACCACTGTCCAGGAATGATTTTCATATTGTTCACGCTAAGCTCTAAATGCCTTAAAGAGCAAAGCAGCTATCGATCTGGAATCACAAGAACCCAGAGCTGAGTAACCACATGAAATTCAGAAGCTTAGGGTTAAAAAAACATTGCTGCTGTGGTGCGATTTTTAAAAATGAATATGCCAAAAGTCCTCTTCTGAGAGATTAATATATATTTCACTGACTCCAAACCTCTAATGGCTAGAGAAAAGAGTGAGCAAACTTGTAACCAACAGCTCTTGTGGCCATCTTCATTCTTTCTTCTATTCACTCATTCAACAAATAAGTACTAAGTACTTCCTATGTTCCAACCACTGCACTAGGCTCAGTGGTGAGCAAAAATAGGCTGAGCACTGTCTCATGGTGCTTACAGTCAAGTAGGGAAGAGCAATACTAATAAATAATCATGCACATTTATTATGTCTAAATATAAAAGTGGGAAAGAACTTGGGTTTTTATAGGAGAGATACAGCAAAAGCCCCAAACTTAGCAGAAGGATATTGGTCTCAAGGAAGCCTTCCCTTAGGAAATGACAAGGAGCTCAGGTCTAAAGGATGAGTCGACATTGGTTAGGTAAGGAGGAGGGGTGGGACAAAAGCCCTGTGGAGGGACTGGGCATGGGCCATCCAAACCTGAAGGCGACCAGTGAGGCTGGAAAGCAGACAGCAAGAGTGAGAATGGCGCAAGAGGAAATGAAGCTGCAAAGGTAGAGACGGGCTGTGCTAAGGTCTTGCAACGACTGCTTTAGTAGCATTGGGAAGGTAATAAAGCACTTTTAGGAGGAAATGAGGAGATGCAAGATCAGAACGCATTTTTTAATATTTTTTAGAAGAGGTTTAGATTCACAGCAAAATTGAGCAGAAAGAGTTCCCGTATTCCTCCTGCCCCCATATACACACAGCCTCCCTATTATCAAAATCCCTCTGCACAGTGGTATATTTATTACAATCGATGAACGAACGTGGACACATCATTATTACCCTAGTCCACAGTTTACATTAGAGTTCACTTTTGGTGTTGTACATGCTATTGGTTTTATGACATGTATCCACAATTATAGTATTTTAGAGCATAGTTTCACTGCCCTAAAAATGTTCTGTGCTTTGCTTTGCTATTCATCCCTCACTTCCTGCCAAGCCCTGGCAACCAGTGATAAAAGCCTTTTACTGTCTCCAAAGTCCTTTTCCAGAATGTCATATAGTTGGAATCCTACAGTATGTAGCCTTTTCACATTGACTTCTTTCACTTTAGAGTGGATTTTGAAAAACACAAACTTACTTTGGTTTCATTGTGAAGAATAAATAGAGGATTGTTGAAGGTGGGCATCACAGTTTATGCAGGGAAACCACCTGAGAGGCTACTATAGTAGACTAAGGTTATGGTGGTCCGTATAAAGATGCTAGAGTTTCTTTAGAGGAAAAATGGACAAAATTTGATGATAAATTGGATATGGAGCGAGAAGAAGGCAGAGGGTTGGGATGATTCTCTGGTTTTTGGATTGAGCAGTTGGTTAGACAGTGCTGCCATTTTCTAAGCCAGAAAAAGGTAGTGAAGGCTACGCTTGGGAGGAAAGAATCTATATTAAGTCTTGGAGAAATTCCATTGAAGTACATTTCAGACATCCAAGTCGAGGCAGTCGGATCTGAGGAGAGTCTTAATCTGGAGATGCATATTTGAATGTCATTAATGTATAAATGGTAATGAAAGTTACGGACATGAATGAAATTATTTAGCAAGAAAGTAGTGAGGAGAAAAGGTGAAAGCCTTAAGGAACTCCAACATCTAATGGCCATATGAAAAAGGAAAAGCTGACAAACTAAAAAGGCATAGCCAGAGAGGTAGGAGAAAAACCAACAGAATCTGGGACATGCCACATTCAAGTCTCAAACTTTCCATGAAGAATTTTTTTTTCTTTAATGAAGCCAAGTTGAAAATGAGCTTTCCCTTCTCTAAACTCCTAGAAGACTCAATGAACTGCTATGTTTGGTATAAACCCAGTGTACTACTTCACACTGCTCCTAATTAAACATATAAATCAACATTTCTACCATATCCTATTGTTAGCATCCACTTTGAAGTACTCAGTTGTAAGGGTTGCCATCCACTTGGTTTTTGACTCCTACAGTGCTGAGGATAGTATGTGTTAAATAAATGATTTTTGTACAATACGTTTTGTTAGCTTCATTGCTGAGGTAAAGATGACCATACTCTCTTTCCATTATTTGGGCCTGACTAAAAAGTTTCTGCAAAACACATACTATACAGACCATACAACACCATCTTCTCCCACTGCTTCAATTTGACCTCTCAAAATGCTTCCAACAGCTTTCTCATGTTTTAAGGTCTTATTTACTTTTTAGGTCTATATGTTGAGAGTAGAGACAAATTTTACTGCCAGAGATTTGTTCTGGTAGTACAGTCAGTCACCATTCATGGAAGAGAATACTTTGTCTATAGCAGATAGAATATAGACTTAGTAGGCTCAATCCTTTAATTCCAAGTTAGTATTCCTGTAACGAGTAGAGAAAAACACTTTTACCTGGCTACCTAGATTTTTAATTGTCAAAAAAACATTTATTAAACTGTTCACTGGTGCCATAAGCCTCTATACCTGAGTTTTGAAAATGTCAAGGTATCTGTTCAAACCACTGTAAGAAAAAGAAATAAATGTCATCCAAGTATTTTGTTACCTGACCAGTATGACTATAATTTTAACTAAAATGAACATAAAAACTTCTAGTTTTTCATTTTTTCACCTTGTTAATTTAATTTCACCATGCTTCCATCCTCAGTCTTGGTGTTTTTAGAAGTGGATGGGAAAATGTTGACTGGTTTTCTATAAGGGCAGGGAGTATTTTAAAATCAGAAGTAATGCATAACACACATGCCTAGAATATCAGAGTTTCCCATTTTTGCCAACTGTGGATAAATTCTTAAAAATCTGTGAGAGGGCCGGCCCCGTGGCTTAGCGGTTGAGTGCGCAAGCTCCGCTGCTGGCGGCCCGGGGTTCGGATCCCGGGCGCGCACCGACGCACTGCTTCTCCGGCCATGCTGAGGCCGTGTCCCACATACAGCAACTAGAAGGATGTGCAGCTATGACATACAACTATCTACTGGGGCTTTGGGGGAAAAAATAAATAAATAAATAAAATCTTAAAAAAAAAATCTGTGAGAAACATAATCATTTTCCAGAAATCTGTGTCACCTATAAATCAGGTTCATTATTATCATGTATAAAATATTATATTCATCTATCAGTGTTAAAAACATGTCATAAAGGAAGGGAGGCAGCTTTCTATGTTGGCCCCACAAACAATATTTGCATGCCAAATAATGAGTTGAACAACTGAATCATTAAAAAGGCAAGCATCAAAATATGTCTTGGCAACATTTGAGGGACAGTAGCCAACCGAATGTCCCGTGAGGGAAAAAAATCTAAAAGGCACATTCATATATTCTCTCCATATAAAATCCATGATGCATCTGAGCTTAACTGGCATTTAAGTACCCAAAAAAGTGATACAACTTAAAAGGTAATTGTCACCAAAAGTGAGTACATAAATGTTATGATGATAGGCCTGGTAAATGCCTGTCATTCACTTTTACTGGGGTACTGCCATTTTTGTGTAAATTTTAATGGATTTAAAAGGTTTCATGGCTTTAGTGGGATAAATTACACAGGCTTCTCAATTATGTTTTTAAGTATTTTAATTTTAGGAAAATTAGTTGAAATCAAGCAAGGAGCCACTCTGCGGTGGGAGAGTGTCTCGCAGTGGGAAGAAGAGGAATGTTTTTTCATTTCCTCTGACATTGGAGTCATCTAGGAAACTGTCAGACATATTCCACATCTTCATCAATATTCATATCAGTACTCAGGAAAGTATTCAGCAATTTTACAACTATATAAATCCAGTAGTCATTTAATGCTAGGTAGAATCGAAATTGCATAACATCTTTGTTGAATACGCACTTTATGGAAATATATTCAATCTTGAAGAAATTATTCCTAAAATAGCAAACAAAACAGCTAACTTGGAAAATAAACAATGACACTTTGGTCAGAACAACCTTCAAAAGGGCAAATTATATGTGAACACCGCCCTAGGCTTTAAATGCAATATTTTAACATCCAATTTCCAAGTTCCCAAGGACATTGGTAGGATTAACAAACTGAAACTTAAGGTACAAGTGAAAGAATAAAATCAAGGAGCCCAAATTGTTCCCTGGAGATGTTTTTGCATGAAAAGCCCTACCCACAGCAGTGAGAGAGAACTGAGCAAGAAGGAACACATTGATTCCCAGTAATTTTGGTTCACAATACCTAAACTAGCAGATTTCAGACCCACTTTTCTTAAGAACACCTTGAACTTCCACCAAAGTGTCCCAGGTGTCTAGCTAGATGCTAGGCATTCAAAGATT